TAAGAGTAATTGCACTCCCTGAAGCAGAAAGAGAGACAGGGATCACACTGGAACAAACATTCCATAAAATTATTCAAGAAAAATTTCCTCAGCTCATCAGTGATGTAAAAATTCAAACACAAGAGATTCAGAGAACCCCTGCAAAACAACAAATGAGAAGACAAATTCCCAGGCACACAATAATTCACCTGAACAAAGTAGGTATAAAAGAAAAAATCCTAAAAGCCCCAAGAGAAAAAGGTCACACTACCTACCAGGGAAGACCAATTAGAATTTCTGCAGATTTATCTGCACAAACACTTCAGGCTAGAAGAGCTTGGAGTCGAACATTCAGAGTTCTGAAAGATAAACAATTTCAACCAAGAATAACCTACCCAGCCAAGCTAAGCTTCATCAGTGAGGGAGAATTAAAATCTTTCCCAGACATCCAATCTCTAAGAACTTGCACTGACTCCAGATCACTTCTACAAGAAACACTTAAGAAAGTATTAAACACAAATAAAAAGAAAAAAAGACTGACCATGTTCTTCACAAGACTACAGGGAAAAGATTGAAAATGCACATGAATCAATGAAAAAAAAAGGAAAACAATAAACAAACAAGTACAACAACCCTATAAGAACCTCATGACATGGACAGACCCTCACATTTCAATAATTAGCCTGAATGTGAGTGGACTAAATGCACCACTGAAAAGACATACAATGGCAAAATGGTTAAAATATCATAAGGCAACAATGTATTGTCTCCAAGAGATTCATCTCACCAGAAAGGACACTCACAGATTTAAAGTAAGAGGATGGGAAGCAAAATTTCAGGCAAATGGAACAAAAAAGAAAGTTGGGGTTGCAATCTTAATCTCAGACAAAATACCTTTTAAACTATCAGAATTTTAAAAGATGAAGAAGAAGGTCACTATATATTGATAAAATGTTCAATCCATCAACAAGAAATATCCATCCTAAACATATATGCACTCAACAAAAAAGAGCACCAGCATTCATAAGGCAGCTACCAGGCAAACTTTAAAAAACAGACTGACTCTAACATATCATAGCTGGGGACTTTAAAACCCCGCTCACAACCCTAGACAGATCATCAAGACAAAAAGTCAGCAAGGAGTCCCAGACCCTCAATGAGACACTTGAATAAATGTACTTATTGACACCTACAGAACACTCCACCCAAAGACCACAGAATATACATTCTACTCATCACCACATGGAACGTAATCCAAGATCAACCACATCATTGGCTATAAAATCAGACATAAACAAATTTTGTAAAATTGAAATTTTGCCATGCATCTTCTCAGACCACAGTGGAATAAAAATAAATATCAACACCAACAAGCTCCCCCCAAAATCAAAAAGACATGAACACTGAATGGCATGATGGTAAACAACTCCTGAGTCAATGACGAAATCAAAACAGAAATTAAAAGGTACCTGGAAACAAATGAAAATGAAGAAACATCTTGCCAAAACCTCTGGGATGCCATGAAAGCAGTAGTGAGAGGGTTATTCATATCTTTACAAACACACATGAAGAAAATGGAAAGATCACAAGTTAACAGCCTAACAAGTCACCTAAGGAAGCTGGAAATGCAAGACCATCAAAACCCTAACTTCAGCAGAGGAATCCAGATCACCCAAATAAAAGCCCAAATCCAGGACATTGAAGACAAAAATACAAGGCGATCAGGGGTATACAGACAGGAAAAGAGGAAGACAAGTTATCTCTCTTTGCAGATGAATTGATTGTATACTCTGAAAACCCGGGAGAATCTGCCAAAAAACCTCCTGGAATTAATAAAGGACTTTGGCAAAGACTCAGGGTATAAAATAAATGTACAAAAGATAATCACATTTCTATACACCAATAATAAACAAATAAAAACCAAAATAAAAAGCACAATTCCATTTACAATAGCCACAATAAAATGAAATACATTGGCATCTTCCTAACCACAGACGTAAAAGTCCTTTACAATGAAAACTACAAAACACTGCTCAAAGAAATCAAAGATGACACAAACAAGTGGAAAAAGATCCCGTGCTCAGGGATTGGAAAAACCAACATTGGTAATATGTCCATTTTACCTAAGGTAATCTACAGATTTAATGCAATATCCATCAAATTACCAGCTACGTTCTTCTCAGATCCAGAAAAAACAATACGGGAATTCATATGGAAACATAAATGACCTAGAATAGCCAAATCACTCCTCAGAGAAAAAAAACAAAACAACAACAAAGCAGGAGGTATCACACTCCTAGACTTTAAACTATACTATAAGGCTACAATAATCAAAACTGCCTGGTATTGGTACAAGAACAGGCATATAGACCAATGGAATAGAATTGAGATTCCAGAAGAAAAACTTCAGTTTCTCAACTAACTCATCTTCGACAAAGCCTCCACCACCCACTACTGGATGAGGAGAACCTATTCAGTAAATGGTGCTGGGAAAACTGGCTGACCACATGCAAAAGATTGAAACAGGTCCCTACCTATCCCCATACACAAAAATTAACTCTAAATGGGTCACAGACCTAAATGTAAAACCTTAAACTGTAAGAAACTTAGAAAATGCAGGACACACCCTTATGGAAGTTGGAACTGGCAACCAATTCTTGATCAAAACCCAAAGTGTCCAGTCCATAAGAGATAAGATAGATAAGTTGGACCTCATTAAACTGACAGGCTTCTGCAAATCCAAAGAAACCATCAAGAGAGCAGGGAGACGGCCCACAGACTGGGAATAAATATTTCCCCACTCCATGTCTGACAAAGGTCTAAAATCAAGGATCTACAAGGAACTCAAATGTGCTGAAAAGAAAAAAACAAACAGCCCCATTACAAAGTGGGCTAAAGATATGAACAGACACTTCTCAAAAGAAGACATATGAGCAGCCAACAGACACATGAAAAAATATTCAGCCTCACTAGTCATCAAGGAGATGCAAATTAAAACTACACTGAGATACCACCTAACTCAAGTCAGAATGGCCGTTATCAATAACTCAAAAAATAATAGATGCTGGAGGGGATGTGGTGAAAAGGGAACACTTCTACATTGTTGGTGAAAGGGTAAACTAGTACAGCCTCTGTGGAAATCAGTGTGGCGATTCCTAAAAGCTTAAACATTGACCTTCCATATGACCACGCAATCCCCCTACTGGGAATATACCCAGAAGTCAGGTCACTCCATAAAAAAGATACCTGCACATGTATGTTTACTGCAGCATTTTTCACAATAGCAAGAACATGGAATCAACCATGCTGCCCATCAAAAGAAGACTGGATAAAAAAATGTGGTACATATACACAATGGAATATTACACAGCCATAAAGAAGAACAAAATCATGAACTTCACAGAAACCTGGATGGACTTAGAGTTTATAATACTGAGTGATCTCTCATAGAAATAAAGAGGTGAGTGTCACATGTTCTCACTCATAAGCGAACCTTGAACAACTGCTGTATTACTGTAGGAAAGGGACTGAAAGTAGCGGGAAACTGTGGGGTGGGGGTGGGGGGTGGGGAGCTGGGATTGAGAGTAGTCGATATCTGCCTGGGGAAGGGGGCACACCTCATCAATAAGGGTACCGGCACAATGACCATTTGTATTCCTAATCCTGAATTGTACCCCACAATTTTCAAATAAAAATTAAAAGAGAGAAAAAAAAGAATTCAAATCCCAAAACACAGAAACCAGCCAGCAATGCCAGATGCCTTACCTGAAGAGGCTGGGTCTTGCAAAACCAGAGAGTGAGCCCCAGCAAGCTGTCAGGCAGAGGCCTGTGGCCTTTGAGGAACAAGAGGGCAACCTCTGTGCTGAGTCTCTACTCCCACTCACAGCGTCTGTCCCCGTGGGGCCCAGGAGGGTGCGCTGTCTCCTAGCCTTGATACCCTGTTGAATCCTTAAAATAAACCTTTATTCCAAAAACACAAAAATGTTGTCTTTAAGGTCAGTCCTAACACTTTCCACACCCATTCTTTCCTCCTGACAAATCATTTCCTGGGCATCCATTTCTGTCCATTTTTTTCCTTTCTGCCCCAAACCAGAAACCGAACTGGAAAAGTCCCAAAAAACCTAAATAAAAATAAATGCCAAAATACAAAACAAAATAATTTTATATAATGTCTTTTCACACACTTCTTTCAGCATTCTCTTTGTAAATTCTGAACCAGAAAATAAGAGTAACTTGATTGTTCCTTCTTATTTACTGTTCAGTGTTCACTGCTTATTTGCTGAATTAGTCTATATACCCTAGGATAAGTCTAAACCAAAATTTCAATAAGGAAAATTATGGGGAAAAAACCAAGACTATAGATTGGAAATCTTGATAAATAAGGTGGTTGGAACATAGTAAGTACTCACTAAAAGCATCATAGTTAAACTTTTACTAGTTTTTTATTATCCCCATCTGATCATACAAATGAAACTAGGTTACTAGAGAGATATCATTAGGTACAATTATGAGTCAATTAAATACAAAGACTTTTCATAGGAACACATACAATGCTTATTACTGGCATCTACATTTGAGCACTAACTGTGTGCTAGGGATTAGGCTAAGCATTTTATTAAAGTATATTTAATCCTCACAACCCCTTGTAAGGTAAATTCTATATTCATTTCCACAGGGTTGTTAGGGAAACTGAGACAGATGGATAACTTGCCCCAGGGTGTACTGCTAGAGAATAGCAGAGCTATGTCTGAACTCAGACTGCTCAACTCTATAGCCTAAGCATTTAACCACTCTGCCACCAATCACCAGGCAACTTATTAGACCAGTCAAGGATAAGAACATCATCTACTGTTAAAAGCGAGTCAGGGACAGTTGCCACTGTCCTCACAACCACTTTATAAGGTAGGTACTTACCAATATAAACTCCTTCTTTGCAGAGTCATGCAAATAAAGTTCTGCCACTTCAGCCTCAGAGGCAACAAGTCATCGAAAAATAATCCTTAGCCGAGGGTCTGTTGTGCATGGCTCCATGTCAGTATTTGTAATTAGCAGAGTCTTTCCACCTTGCCCCAAACCTAACACTTAAACAATATAACATAAAACTCATCAATTCGACTCTCAATATGCTGGCTGCCAAGTATACACAAATATTTTTCATTCTTAAGATTCCAATGAATGTTGGAAAAAAATCCATCTTTTATTCACACCAGCATCAACTAAAACGTGTTTTGTCTTTTTTTTAAAAAGGGCAAAATAATGCTAAAACAAAGGAACAACTCTGATCATTTACTGATAACAAACATGTAAAACACTTTTTTTTTTTTTTTTTTGAGTTGGAGACTTACTTCGTCGCCCCGACCGGAGTGCAGTGGCACGCTGCCGGCCACTGCAGCCTCAATCTGCTGGACTCCGGCGATCCTTCAGCCTCAGCCTTCCAAGTAGCTGGAATTACAGGTGTGCACTACCACGCCCAGGTATCATCAGTTTTTAGGTTTCATGTCTGGACCAACCTGTCTGATGTTGGAAGGATAAATTGTCCTCATACAAATCTCCTTCTAAACCAAGACTGCTCCAGCTACCATTACTGTTCCCATTACTGCCAGAGGAAGAAAAGAACAGAGCTGAACTAGAAAATGAATCATAAAGAAGACCATTTTACTTGGAACAGCATCTGTCCTTGATAACCGCAGATGTTCTGAAGCTGTCACAGTGGAGTGGAACATCCATAGAGGTAAAGAGGGACCAGCACTGCTATTCTAAAAGGTACTTGACAGGGTTGGAGATTCAGGAGTCTTTTCTTTGTCCTCAATAGATTATAAAAATTATTCTATAATTTCCGGCTACTTGGAAGGTTGAGGCGGAAGGATCACCGGAGCCCAGCAGGTCGAGGTTGTGGTGGCCAGGAGCGGCCACTGCACTCCAGTCTGGGCGACAGAGTGAGACTACAACTAAAAAAAAAAAATTATTCTATACTTACATATATTTTACAGATTAAAACAACAGAATGGTTTTTAGGACAGCTAATGGATGCATGAAGTAAGAAGTTTCACAATAAATTAATGTCTTAGAGTTAATGTCTTATTCTAAATTCATTCTTTCAAATAGCTAAGGCTTAATCAACCATTACACTTGTCTGGCTGGCCAGTTACTAATGCCACACACAGGTAACTTCTTCCACTAGGTCAGAAAAAAAGAAGAAAGCAACTATATTGTAAGACTGCAGCAAAGTAAATTTTTAAAAAAGCAACCGTGTTCAGAAACAAAATTAAATTCAATTTTTCAGATTACAACCTCCAACAGGGAAGGGGGGTGGGATTGGCAGTTGAGGGAAACTGCTAGGGGAGGGAGGGGGATATACCTCATCAACAAGAATCCATGCATGTTCAATGTTTATATACCAAACCCTGAATTGTACCCCACATCTCTATAATAAATAGTAATAATAAAATAATATGTATTTTAAAATAAAATAATAAAAGAAAAAATGTAAAAAAATTCTAATCATTCCTAATTATTAAAATCATTAGTAAGCACATTAGTTTGCAGTGATAGCAGTTACAGTTCTCAGTATTAGGCTAGGCAACTATAAAAATTAATATTTACACAAACCAAAATTCTGGTTCTAAAAAATGAAATAACATAAAATTATTTCATGTGTATCAGTAAATGTTGACATGGTTACTAAAAAAAAAGGTGATTAAAATTCAAAACCACTTCTGAGTAATTTCAAATAATTTACATATCCATATTAACTTTAACACTACCAAACTGTCACAAGACATAAAGTATTTGAAAATGAAAGTTAAAACTGAGTAGGGTCTTTTAAGCATATTTTCAGATAAATATAGCTCTATTATAAAGTCACTAAAACAACCAGAGTTTTGCCCATGTAAGGCTGTTGTCAGACAAACAAATAAATGAGAAAATATACAAATAAAGAATGGAAAGACATCTGTGAACCAAAAAGAAAGAGAAAATTAATTATCTCAAATGCTGTATTTATTTCCATTAATATAACAATTAAACAAAGAAAAAATATAAAATTAAACTTCTACCCATAGCAATGATTCCTCTACTTAATAGTAAAGATCCATCAACAAAGTATTATGCAAACATGAAAAAATCCAGCTAAACAAAGTAAAGGACTAAAACTTCAAACTCTAACCTCATCCTTTCCTCCCCCAACCATGTTTTGTATATCAAAATGGGTCAGATTTAAAGCCAGTTATTTATAAAATACCACTTCTAACTAGGGTGACCAAATACATTTTTAATTAATT